GATCCCATTGGCCTTCTTGGCCACGAGGGCACACTGCTGCCTCATGGTCAACTTGTCGTCCACCATGACACCCAGGTCTTTCTCCACAGAACTGCTCTCCAGAAGGTCAGTCCCCAGCCTGTCCTGGTGTCTGAGGTTATTCCTCCCCAGGTGCAGGACCTTGCACTTGGCCTTGTTGAATTGCATGAGGTTTTTCACCGCCCAGTTGTCCAGCCTGTCCAGGAAAGACAGCAGTCGAAAGCTGCTCCTCTTGTAGTTTTAAAAAGTAGGACTAATCTCTGTCAAACAAAAGCTATTATATAATACCATAATCACCTCATACATATACACTATATTTTGTCTAATTTACCTCAGCTGAGATGACCCTTATTGAGATGGATTGGGGATATTTCAGTTACAAAACAAAATTTCCACAGTCTTTGCTGGTGTTCAATGTAGAACATAAGCTCATCATCAGAGACCTATGGAAATAAAAATAATTGCATATCACATGCTTATAGACTTCCTTCCTTAGTTGAAAGAAAATAATTGCTCCAGATGAAAGGTAAGAGCTTTCTGATTAAATGGAAATATGCTGTCAGTGTGAGAACTGCAAAATATTTATAAGGATTCACGGCAATTGGATATTTAATCCCTTTCTATGACCAACCAGAGGAGAGAGTAACAGGTTCAAGCATATGCTCCTAGCATGGCTGAATAATGAGCTATCTCATTCTTTACACCTTGAGGGAAACCCGTATCTGGAGTAGATCCATGGAAATCAGTAGAAACTTACATCTGATTAATATCTCTATTCCAACTTAAATAAAAATGTTGGTCTTGATTACATTTTAATTAGTTGTTTCAGCTTCAGCATAATTTCTAACGTGTACAATTATTTGCATAAGCCTGCAGTCTACATAGAAATAAACCACAAAGCTTCTGAAGTTAGAACCGTAATGAGAACTGTTATGTTTGCCTGTAGTTAATAGCTTTTTGTAGTCTTATCATGTTCTTTTTCTCATGACCACTCTAAATGTGGCCTTTTATGGTTACAAAAAATTGGATAATCACATATTTTTTAAGTACTATTTTTGTGAGAGCGTTATTATGGTCCCTTGTAACACACACTGTTGATCTTATTGTAGGTGTTGGGGAAAACCTTACTGATCCATCTGTGATTAAACCTGAAGACAAGAAGTAAGTTTCCCTCTGATTAAATTATTGTTCACTTTAGACATTCTGAAGCATTCAATATACTTTGGGCTTGGCCATGCCATACTGTACCTTGCCATGACCCCTTTCCTGCCTGTGAATCTGCGTGCCTCTGGGGCAGGGCTGTGAGCCTCCTTGATCGCAGAATCATGGAATGCTTAAGGTTGGAATACCGCTGTGAGACGACCCACAGATCATACACGGAGCAGAGGAGAGGCTGTGGGCTAAGGGCTCTTTTCTCTGAGGGAGTCTTCCTGTCCCCACACATCTTACCAGCTGATGGGCGCCCCTTCACTCAGGTTGTTTCATCTCATGAAAGGAGTTCTCAGTCTGGGCAGGAAAGAAGATACGAACGTGAATAATCTGATTTAATGCAAGGTGAAATTAATGACAGAAATACTGGATGACTTGCTTGGAACTCAGGACAAGTCCATTTTGGAAGCAGGCTCTTAGTTCTGGGACCACTGTTAATATTTCATTAATAAGATTAGTAATAAATGACTATATTAATGTTGCATGAATGTTTAATTATGAATGGAGGTGTATTGGCCATATAATATTTATTCTGAAAGCAACATCAAAAATACGCTGAACACTTCACAGTGACAAAGTCTTTGCCCTAAGTAGGTCATAGGACCTTGACAGAAGCACAAGGATAACAGAGGAGAGAGAGGCAGAGATCAAATATGTAGTTGTTCACCACAAAGGCTCAAGTAAGCATTTTTAAACACGTGAATTGCTACGGATGAATTAAAGTCTGACTTATTGGTGTTCAAGTGTTTTTGTTTTTACTTCAGTGGAAGCAAATATATAAACCTAAATGAACAGTTGGTGCGAGTTACTAGTGTAGCTGTGGCCGTAGTGATTAAAACAGTAATTCTCATGGCAACTCAGCTTCTCCTATCTAAAAGAGAATTAATATTTACCCATGTTATCTTGAAGGGTGTGTTTGTTAGCATCCTTCTGGATTATTTTTTGTCATTAAATAATTTTGTCATACTTACTAAAATTTGATCCCGCAGATTCTATTTTCAAAAACTGTTGTTTTGTTTGTATCATCTGCAGTACAGCGAAGTCCTAATTAAAGAGCAAATGTTGATTAATTAATCAAACAACTTGATTCTCTTATGTTCTCGGAAATCATCAGAACAGCAAGTTGTGAAACTATATTGTTTGATTCAGTGATCTGAAGGAATGAGACAGTGAAACTGCTGATGGATTCTGTAATCAGCTACGAGATACCCAATTCTAAGGCATGCTTTCTAAAATAATAATAATGTAAATGCACTTTCTTTGCTCTAACCTTCACTCTGTCATAAGGGAAACATTTCTGGCAGTATCAAGATCTGTTTTATGTTTTCATTTGTAAATAACATACTTCATCAAAACCTGTGTGCTGCCTCAAAAGTTGCTTTGAGCTCACATTCTCTTAGAAGCCTGGGAGAGAGTAGATGTCATTTGACTGACAGGGCTGATACAAATTTTAGCACTACTTGTAACTACATTATTTATGTTTTGTTTCGGTAATTCCATTGATTTAGAAGCTCGTGTCATTATCTTGTAGTGAGTCTTTTCTTTCATGCATTCCACATGCTGTCTTGGAATGGAGTTTTAAATGGCACAATGTGACCTCTGTATCTGTGAGAGTGAGGCAGTATATGTTGGTTTTATATACAACACCAAAATCAAAATAACAGATCCACTTGGAAAGTGTGCTTGACTTTGCAGAGTCGCGAATGTTTAGCACTGATTGAAAATCTTGCCATGTACAGTTAATAGAATGAATGAAGTGAGGCAAAAACATGAAGGTAAAATATTCACCAAAAGATTTCCTGTAAGAGCAGATTTGCTGTAAAAGTAGTCAAGGTACAGAATGGGGACCATCACACAGTGCAATTCTTGCAGACCCCTGCACTGCCAAAGCTTTGGGAAGACCTGCCTCATAAGTAATACCCTTATCAGTGTGTCACACTTACCAAATCCACAACAAAGTCTGTGCTGGTGGAGCTTTCAGAGGCACAAGGGGCAAGATATCTACAGATGTCTGAGGAGAATTGTGGATCAAGTTTCAAATTAGAAAGAATTGATGCATTAGGCCTGCTGAGAGAGGTGAAGAAAAAGGCCCCAGCAGGCAAAAAAATCATTACAAATGTGAAAAAAAGAATGGGAAAATAAGGGGTCAGGAGGTGCTAAAAGAAGGAGTTAGAGGTCCCTTTTTAAAGCTCTCAAGCAGATAGTGATGGGCTGAAGGTTGTAGCAATGATTGAAGACCTTATCCTTTCAGGCTACTCATTTAGCTTGTATTTTGAGGTTATACTAAGCTGTGCAATTTCAGTCAAACAATGACAGCTGAAATGGTGCCGATAGAAAGAAACCTACATGTATTCACTATACCTCTAACCTGTGCGACTGAAATGGGAATACTTGAGGCTCAGACTGTAAAAAGATATAGATGAAATAACCTGCTTGTCTCCTAGTAAAGGTAGGTGTGTGACATCCACACAGTGCATTGCTCTGAAGCCCCCAACTTCCATGAATAAGGCTTTGTGGATGCCTTATTTTTTGCTTTGAGCATTCACAGCTCAGCCTTGACTGTGAGGAGAGCTCTGCATCAGCACACTACGTATTAATATATCCCTGACAGCCTGCCAGGCCCAATCTGGTAGGCATTTATTTAGCATTTATTATGCATTTACTATTAGACATGGCTCTGCAAAAAAATAAAAAAAAAGTAGGAATGGGCTTTTGGACTGATATCTCATGTAAATGTATCTGCTGAGTTTGCAGGTTAAGTGGGGCTCAGTATTTTTCTCTCCTTGGAGAGACCATGCATAACCAGGTAAATAACCTCATGTGTAGAACAGGGCGTTTAGAAGGGATCTTAAAGGCTCAACTGATTATTTTTCTTCAGCAAGTCATTCCTGTGTCAGGCCTTACAGGTCCTATATAGACAGCTCTTGAGGATTTGGTGATCGTAAAACATTCACAGAACATCTAGTTTCAACTCTTTGCTAACCTTATTACTAAAAAGATTTTCCTGATTTTCTGCATGAAACATTTCATCCTTTTCCTGTATAAAATTGCAATTAATTTCAAACAGTTTCTATCTTCAGTTTCTTTTTTCTGTTTTTAGGCCATCTCCTTGAGCTTTTGTATTGTCTTGAGAAAAAATATTCCAGAGTTGAATATAACCCTCCTCTTGAACTGTAACCAGTGCCAGGTAGAGAGGAAGGATTATTTCAATTATACTGCAGACAGCATCCTTTTTATATATCCCACAACAACATGGGAGAATTATCTTTCTTGTGACCTTTGCTGTATTTTCATGGAATAATCAAAGAAGGAATATGAGCGTGATTCTGTAGCTTAGAAGTTAGGTTTACTATACCTGATCAAGCAAATATTTGTCTGTTCTACTCTTACTGGAAGATTAGACCAAGTTTATATAGGGCCCTTAAGTAATATTCCACTTTTTATCTGTTTTGATACACTAATTTTCAGTAAAGGTTGATTAGACTTGTACTTGAATGAACCAGGAGACAGACACTACTTACTGTCTGCCAGAAATTGGACAGATATTAAGCTTTAACATGCATTCTGGCTAATCATTCCACCTCTCCCTCATGAAAGGGGGAAACTTGACATGTTTGCAAACTGTTCTCCTTAGGTATATTTTCTGACTGTGGATTACAGAAAGATGGGAGAGAGTTAAAATCATTTTCTCTAGCTCCTCAGAGCTGTAATTGATTTCAGATTTTAAAATGGGTTGTTTCCACTCTGCATACCATTAAAATAAAATATTAGCTTTCATAAAGTTTCTTTGAAAGTGTTTTTTGTGTGCTGTGTTCCGTGATGTCTAGAATGTCAATTAAATTCTTGAAAAGAATGGTGAAGCAGTATTAAAATTAATGAACACTGATCTTTCAGACTACATTAAGAATCTGTTATAATTATGTGGTACTTCTAATACATGTCTGAGTATAGCCTGGTTTTGTTATAATTGTTGACTTCACCCAGAATATGCAATACACATTCGCAGATGGAGCCCTTGGTAATGCTGCTGAATTGGCCAGTGTGCAAACACACACAGAAATGAGCATAGAAAGAAGCCAATAAATTTTAAAGCCCTGCTTGCTAGCAGTGTACTCTATTCTTTTTCTGTACTGCATATTGATACATCTAGGGCTCTGCTTCCTTTGGGAAACCTGGCTTTCTCTTCTCAAATGTAGCAAAAGTTCTGCTGAATTTCACCTCTTTCCTAGCTCCGGTTTGTTCCCAGATGTCTACTATCAAAACCAAAATCAAGCCAGCTTTGTGATGAGGATGGAGAATGTTTCCAGCAGAATCATTCAGCTTGTGCCATATGCTCTCTGAATGCTACTGTTCCCGAATTTCCACTAAGCTCTAAGTGGGAACTGTTGGGTCTGCCCTGTATCTCTCCGGAGCAGGTCACAGCACAGCTAAGCAGCATATTTTAGATGCCATACTGGATAAAATAGCTGTGGGATATATGCACCTAGGCTAATGCTTTATCAGAATTGACAGTTTTCTCATTTCTGACCTAAGAAACTTGTGATGGACACTCAGGTTTGATTATACAAAGGGCTAAGTTAGCTCTTATTTAATAAATAGAAAATATCATCACGCCCCTGACAAGTTACCTTTGAGACAATTTCCCTATAATCTCGAGAAAAATAAAGATATTTACTTTTGTATTTCTAGAACCTTACATTCTCTGCCCCCCCTCCTTTTTTTTTTTCTTTATACTGGATTTGCTTTTATGGAGGTTCATTGATTATTTTATATATATTTTTTTCAGATCTGGAAAAATGGTGTTTGGACCAGCAAACCTAGGAGAAGATGCAATTAGAAACTTCATTGCAAAGCACCGTTGTAACTCTTGCTGCAGGAAGCTGAAACTTCCTGGTATGCAAAATAAATATTAATTTTTAATCTCTGACTTTTTGAATGCAAGGTAATAAAGACCAAAGTAGGCTAGAAACAGAACACTGAGCTATAGTTGGCACTCTCTTTCTGGGCAAAGGTGAATAGGAAAATACTTGTCTTGTCACCTTACTTGTCTGCCCAGTAGCCATATTAGGGGTTTGGCAATGTCAGTCTGATATTAGCAGCCAGCATGTTAGTTTCTGCGCATGGGATTGTTTGCTTTGCCGTGCAAAGTGATGGATTGTTTTTCTAGGAGAATAAATGCAGTTAACCTCAGCAAAATTTTTTAGAGTAAGAGATAAAGAGAGCGCTAAAGATCTGAGAAAGTCTGTAAAACCTAGCAATGAATTTGCCTGGGAAAGACTCCCTGCAACTCTCTTGACCATCAAGTAGAGTCCTACACAGGGCACACCTGTCTTCCTGCTTAAATAAATTAAATTGCTTCCTGCTTAAATAAATGTGATTTTTGAGATGCAGTTTTAAAGGGCTCAGAGACAAAATATATTGCTATTTTGGATGAATTTCTGCCTATATATTTTTTCTAGAGAAAATCTTCCCCTTTCTCAGTAGCTACATGGAATAATAATTCCTATTTGATTCTGAAATAGAAACTGTGTTGTTATACTTTTGTCTATGGTGGATGGAGATTGTAGAGGAAAATCACCTGAATGAATACAGCAAGAAATGGGTCATTCCTATCAGCTCACACCATTTTTGGCCTCTCATCCCTCTGTTTCTGGCTTGCCCTATTGCCAATTCTTGCCTTTTTGGACACAGCTATGAGGCTATGGCCAAAAGCTCTGCTCTGGGAACAAATATTTTTCAAACATTTCCTTCTCTGTGTCACTGAACTTATTTTCTTGTCACAGATCTGAGAAAAAATGACTACACACTGGAAAGGCTCGTTCCAGCTGCTGAAGGAGAAGCAGACGCAGTGGGAGCGGATGGCGCGGATGAGCCCTTGGAGTACGACACGCGGTTGTGAGCGGAGCCCACGCGTTTGCATGCTCGGGAACAGCTTCCTTATCACGGCTGCTGGTCAGGCTGAGAGAAGAAAGTGTGGACGCCTGTGTGCAGCATCTCACTGCCCTCAGCGTATACTAGGGACACAGAGTCAAAGCATTTCTCTAGCTAGCACTTTCTTGTGTTCTTGGGCTGCTCGAGCATCCTTAGCAGGGTGAACTGCCTTTTTTGTGGTGGGAAAATATGTTTAATGATGCCAGACTCTGATCTTACAAAAATGCCTGTAGCCAACATATGTCCATGAGGGAATGGGTTGATGTTTCTTTCTCTACTCTTTAATAGAAAAACTAAATGTATGCACATATATAAACCATTCATTTTCAGATACAGAGCCCACTCAACCTCATGCTCACTTTTGTCTTGTGCGACAGAGACTGTCCAAGAAATTGCAGAAAAAATGTTTATTTTTCATTTTGATGCAGTGACAAGTCAAGAATTTGTAAGAAGTAAGTGGGTGTTTTACAATAGTCATGGATACAGGAAGTAAGTAGATCCCAAAATTTTATGGGAGCTTCATCTCAAAATGCTTTTCACATACCAAGACTTTATTAGAGTCAAAAAATGAAGGGTTGGAGCCACAAGTATCACCAGTTTTTCCTGTTTTCAGTTGGTAGAACTGAAAAATCCATCTTTAATACAAACATGAACTAAACAACAACCTTGAACATAATTCCATTTTTAACCGGGATCTATTTTTCTTTAAAATACTTTGTCTTCAGGATGTTTCTGATTCTTTAAGTTTCCAATTGCAACCAAGATTTGAAAAGGCACAAAGAAAGAGTATGTTCTGCTTAGTACTTAGCGGGTTAGTGTCAGACTGCACACAGGACTTTTTCCTACCAGTTAGGTGTAGGTGCTGCAAAAGTAGGCAGATATATTTCTTTTGGTACCCTGTGATTTCAATAGAACATCTCAATATAGAAAAATCTAGCATATGAGTTTTGCTGTGTAGAATCAGTATCTAAAGGAACTGCTCACGCTAAATATCTGTAATACAATATATATTGTATTAGAGACCACTTTCATCATTAAAGGAAATTTGTACTTCTCTATTTTTCATGAGAAATATTTAATCTTGAAATATAAGTCATCAGAAACTTCTATACTTGAATACAAAACAAAATCAAATTTCATATTCACATCATGATGGTATATTTTTGATGTGTAAGGGGACTAGTTGTGGTGATTTATCTTTCATTTGGTATAAGATGTCTGTGTGTACATAAGATTTAGAAATTGCATGTTCCCAGTTTTTATATTGATTTTGATATTGATTCTGACACTGGCATAAGCTGTAGGTTTGCCTGTGATTCCTTCGGTTCTTGAAGCATCCTGAAGAGCCACTTCTTGCTTTTTCTTATCTACAGGTATCTTTTGGTAAGATATTTTTAAAAGGAAAATTTGCTTCCATATTAATATTAGTGGTAGGTATTAGTTTGCATTCATTTTGTAAAAGTGATCTCCACATCCTTTTTTTCCTCTTTTCTTTGAAGCATTTCAACATATTGTCAAGTTTTGGTTTGTCAGTAATTCTGTGATTAATAGCATTTCTGCATAATGTTTGTGGATTTTGATCCCTTTCCTCAGGAGATAGAGGACCTACTTCTAATGATTATTCTCTTAAAATTTACCTTTAAGAAGGGATGTGTCCTATCCTTTAAAGAGAGATCTTTCTCTAGTAGATACCTAACTATTTGATATGCCTTTAAATACAGTCAAGTTAAATGGGACTTTAGTATGCCTTTAAAGTTAGGGATTATTTAAGTCTTATTCTGGCAGTGTTGCTTTCCACACTCATTGCCATAAATTCTTGCATCAAAAGGATGGAATTATGGACACTTAAAAATCAGACATGACAGACTGTGTTTAAGCACTTTTGTTTCAAAGTTATTCCTGAATCCTGTTTTAGATTATATTTTCAATTATCTAAACAATTATCATGTTGCCTTCAAAAGTGAGTGGGTTTTCAATTCACAGCAATGCTTGCTAGAACTGATAAGGTGTTTATATCACTGTAGATTCATCGTATCCCTTTTATAATGTTCACATCCAGGCATATACGGCCTTCACTTCAAATTAATAATCCTGACAAGATGATTGTCCATAATGAAATATAACTTATACAAGCATATTTTATGTCTAGCTTTGCTTAGTGCCAGGTATCAATGCAGTAGACCAAGAAAAGGATGCATTTAGAGTTGTTCTGTTATATACTTACAGAAGCATGCTATTTTTTCTGCACATGAACACACTAAATTGAAAAATTCTGGTGCTTCTGGGTGCCTCACCTTTTTTTTTCACTTTTTTTGGAAGTGCTTCTTTAGATTTCACAAAACTGCAGGTTTGGGTAATATATTTGAAAATCTTTTATTATTCTTGTCTTTGTTATAGTTTAGTAAAAAATAGTAAAATCATTTGAAAATGTTTATTTTCTTTTGAGTCTTTGATGCCTTTCTTGCGCCAGGTTCTGTACTCTCTTTAAATTGTCTTAAAAAACCTTATTTAAGAATTCAGCTAAGATTGCTCAGAACAAAATATGGTTTTGGAAAGTATACTGTTGGAGATTTAGCTTAAACGTGTGAGAAATATTCAGATGATGCAAACCTTATTCTCCGGGTTATTTTTTTTTTTTCTATTTCTTTTTTTCAGTTATGACATTTTTGAGGTTACTTTTTTATTGTTGGTGCAGTAATCACAGAAGGGATATTAGATCTCTATTTTCTAGAAATGGATATGTATTTAATGTGTTTTTGTCAAGCTGTTTCATCTTGTTTCAAAAGAAACAAAAGACATTTTTGAAAATGTTTCTATTCTTGGTGGGCATAGAATTAAATAGCACATTTCAATGTTGTAAGGAAAAAGGTGAAAGTTATATGTTGAAAATAATGCAGATCTATTTTTGATTTTTTAATCTCAAGATAATAAACATTGATCCTATATGCACCATGCTTTCATTCTCTTGAATTTTGTTTTTTTATTAATATTATTTTTATTATTTTTTATTTTTCATTATTTAAGGCACTATTTTATATCAGCTACCCTTTACAATTATTTTCCACTCTTAGGAAGCTTATGCCAATGATTATCTCAGTTTCTGACTGACAAGGGGAACCCAGAAATCTATCTGCAGTGACACTGGCCTTCACAGGAACTGTGAGCACCTCGAAGTGGTTAATGCTTTTCCTCATGCTATTGCTTCTACAAAAACTGCTCTTACTTTTCAGCTTTTCTTTACCTTACTCGCTATATCATAAATTATTCTGGAACACACTTCAGTCCCCTAATACAACTATTGCTGGAGAAAGAAAACCTCAAGGTTAAAAGAAATCGAAAATACTTTCCTTTTTGATATTTGAATAGTGTAGAAGCTGCTGCAAGGATCTGTTCATTTACCTATCTGCCAGTAATCCTATTGCAGAGAAATAGCAAATAAACTAGTGTTTTAAAATAAACTGTTTTTGTTTAGATTGTGATGTTTCATTGAGAAAAAATACTAAAGATTAAGGGGAACAAAATTTTAAAAAGCTCAGAATATCCATGCTGCAAAAAAACCCAAAACCAAACCAAAACAACAACAACAAAACACCCTGTGAATATTGCATGAAGAAATATATGTTGTACTGTTTGTGTCATGGGTTTAGGTAGAAGGCTAAAACCTCAATTTCTTAGACTTAACACAGAGCAAACTTGGCTTGGGTTTTGATCTTGTGCCCCTAGTTGGACATGCCCACAGCTGGCAGAAAAGAGGAGGAGGAGGAGGATAAGGAGCAGAGAGGAGTCTCTGACTTCTGAACCTCTCTGCTGCCCTTCCTGACTGAACTCTTATCCTGCTGAGAAACTACCAGATTCAGCTTGCTCCTGTGATCCTTAGTGAGGCAGGCTCTGCTGCAACACTGTAGAGCATTTGTGTGCACTGTATGGACACAACACATTTGTGTCAGGTACCTAATATTGGCACGAATTGAAAGGGTATAGGCTGAAAGGGTATACTGAGAGATTTACCCTAAAAAAAGAAGAAAAATATCAGGCAGCATACACTGCCAGTAGGCAGGTATCTGATGCTTGTGATTAGAGAAAAACAAACAAACAAAAACTGTCAGAATTAGTATAATACCATAGAAAAAATTAAGTGTTTGACATATTAGACAAGGTATCCACCTGAGTCTGCAGCTTTCAGTAAGAATTTCCTTCGTTGAACTGCTGGGAATTGGATGTCTCAGCTGTATCTCAGGGGTTGATTCAGTGGTATGATGATGAGGTGAGAATCAAGTTCACCACTGCCTCCCAGGTGGGCCACAGAGGACAGTGCCTTATCTGATCATGAAAAAGAGAACTGCTTCTCTTCAGCTGGTCTCTATTGTGAAATAGAAGTGTTACTCAGCCTTTCAAAATTTTTGTGAAGCAAATTAGTGTTGCACAGTGACTAGGACAAATGTGCCCCATAAAATCAAAACCGAGGTTAACCTTGGATATTCCCCTCATCTCCCAAGTATGATTTACAGACCACTCCAGCTTCACTCTCTGGAGTATTGCAATCTCAGATAATGTCTGTGTAGCAGCCTGGATTAAGAGCTAACCTTGCATAGCCTCTTCCATAGTGAAAAAAAAAAAAGAAAAAAAAAAAGAAAAGTGGACTTCAGCTGAGATAATCAGTGACCTGAACTCTGAGCAAAATGAAAGAATTGGATCCAACTGAACTCAGATGATAATTGGATAAAATTGGTAGAAAAAAAAAAAAGGTCAAGATCCCTATGCAGGATTCCAGCTTGCACCCGATTAGAGGTGGATTTGAACTCAAATGGCACCCTGATCAAACCTTCAGCTGAGGTTAAATAGCTATGGTGTACTGAACAAGAGCTGAATATGACCACTTACCATCCTTGAGGAGCATGGAAGGGCTGAGGTTGATCCATGAGGCTGACCCTTAGCAGGCTGGAAAGGCAGGGTAACACTGCAGGATAG